CCTAAAGTAGAGCTAGTGAGGTGTTTGAATGCAGCAGGAAGAACCACATGACTCACAAAAATCATGCCATTCCCTCTGAACCTGTGCAGTTCTCATATATGTGAGGCATGCTGAGGGATTGAAATTGCCTTTTTATTAAGATGAACTTCAAAATTAAAGCAGATTCTGAGTCCACCAAGTCATTCCAGAAAAGAATCCCATTTTTCATGTGTTGTCTTACAGAAACCATAAGAGAGTTTTCCTCGCATGTCTTGAAAACAAAGTCTCTTCATTTATTCGTGGAGATTTTTAATTCAGATACCATCTATGTGGGTATAAACCTGGAGAAGTTCTACTGAGGTCAATACTCCTGTTTAATTTATGCCCATGTAAGATCTATCTTTTAGCTTCTAGTCTTCAGTTACAAAATATTTTAGACAGTGTCCACTGTCTGACTGCAATGCATTTTGTTTAGAAAAAAATCATGTTTATTCCTTTAGATAATAACTTTAATAATTGTAATCCTCAGTGCCATCTCATTGGTTAGTCTGTTTTGGGAGAAATCCCAGCTTGCTTTTTGTACTTTACTGCAGCATTATTTCAGTTCAGCTGTTACATTTTGCTCTTTTGTTTTCTCTCTAGGGGCCTAGTGGTGAACGTGGAGATAGAGGAGAACCTGGTCATGAGGGCTACAAGGTAATACCTCTTGCTTTTTATTCTTTTTATTTGAACATGGCATGCTATGCACATAGAGTAATGTAGCAGAAGTATCATCTTCTCTTACAAGTGTGAGAGATGCACTTGCTGGTGCCTCACTGCACTGATGAGCTCTTAGAACACATTGGAGCATCTTTCATATGAGGAGAAGTTGATAGAGCTGGGACACATGAGCTGGAGAAGAGAAGGCTTGGGTGATCTTAATGGGTATAAATACTTGATGGGAGGGAATGAAGATGAAGGAGCCAGACTTGTCTCAGTAGTTTCCCGTGACAGGACAAGAGGCAATGGGCACAAGCTGAATAATTATTCATGAATTGTATTCAGTCTTTCAGCAAATACAAATTGGATGGTAACTCATGCTAATCACTGATGCAGTTTGTTGTTTGTTTGCTGAAATACAAAAAAGACAGTCCTTGACGTGGAATATCCTGTTTAAGTTACACAGATAATACAGATAGACATAGTAATAAATCAGTGAACTGAATATGATCTATGCTCACAGAAGTGCAGAAATGTTTAAAAAATATGTAATTCCCACTTGCAGAGAATTTCAAGAAGAAAAGCTTCCTAAGGTCTGATCTCAGGAGAGCTGAGTGTACTTTATCTAGGTCACGTCAGTGAAGCTGGGGCCACCCAGCACCTCCCAAGATGGGCTTTACAAGGAAGTCTATAGCTCATTGAACATGACATCGTGAGTTACTTGTATTGCAATATGTTATATTTTCTGCTTCCCAGGGTCATATAGGTCTTCCAGGGCTTAGAGGACCTATTGGACAACAGGGGCCTCCAGTAAGTGTTTCAAACAAGTGAGATTTCTCTATTGGGTGTTGAAAATGCATTTTCATCTGCATTCAAATTTTTTTTTATTTATTTAATATATGTTCTTTCCAAAGGGAGAGCCAGGTGAATTGGGAGAGCAAGGACCAAAAGGAGAAAGAGGTTCGGAAGTAAGTAGAAAAAAGTAAAGCAAAACTGCACTTAATTGGAATTTGTATGTTTTTCCTGTTCACTGACTATCCTTGGAAAACTGTTACATAAGGCTAAAACTCAGTGTTTGGGTTTCCTTTTCATACCTGCAGGGACAATAAAAATATAGAATGGAAAATTGCATAATGATCTGGGATAGTAAATATGTGTTATTTGATATATAAATGGTTTTACTTTGGAGTGATACAAAGCATTATGAGAGGCTCTTTTGGAAACATTTGAGTGATATTCAATCATACCCTTAAATGGAGTTCCTTGTGGCAAACTAGCTCTGGAAGACACCCAGGATTTTACTGCTCTGATCTGTAAATGAAGCCTCCTGGTACTGCACTGCACTGAATTTTTAGAGAGACCTGGAAATAAGGAATTTGCTATAAAGTAGTAGAGGAATAATGACAGAGCAAGTCATTAAAAAGATCAAAGACTAAATCTTTTCCTTTAGAAATAATAGTTCATCTTGGTGGTGTATTGAAAATTGCCAAATGTATTTTATATTCTCCCATGGGGTGACTTTCATTGGCTTGTGAGATTTCAAAAGACTTAGGCTAAAAGATTTCTTACAATACCAATTGCTATTGCAACTTAAATGAGATATTTTGTCTGAGAAGTTCCATAGCACAACTGTGTTAGTTTCAAAATTTTCTAGGTAAATACAAGAATCTGTAGTAGATTAGGAGTGGGGAGCAAGAGAAAGGAAACGTGATGTGAAGACGTTGTCAGCATGTACTCTAACCATGAGCTCAGATATATTGCCTTTGACAAACTACTCACAGCACAGGATAAAATCAGTCATCCCTCTGTCTTTCCCTTGGAAAATGTTTTCTTTGTGTTGCAAATGCCCCTCAGATTAAAACTGCCATTTGCAAATATGGAACCAATATCCAGCCTGGAGCAACCCATAAGAGCCTAAAGGTTTACGCAAAAACGTTAATAGTGAAAACATTCATACGGTCTTAACTCCAGTGGCATGACTGGTGCTGCTATAGCAAGCCTTATAAAGTCAATAAAGCCTCATAAACTGCAATGCTGAATCATCTGGGTTTACTTTATATGCATTCAGATATTTTAATGAAAACAATATAAAGTTCTTTGAATATACACGTTTCAGTTCTGATTGGTGGACTTTTTTATGCCTTTCTTAACAAAAAGACATTAAATTAAGGAATAGAACAAAATTTTGCTGATTTTATCATATTTATATTAATTATAAAACATTTACACTTACAATGACCTTAGCTTTTTCACTTTATTGCATGTTATGTAATATTGCAGCATAGTAGTTTAGTGTCCCTTTTGCTTTAAGAACAGTGTTTAAAATAATTAATCCAGAAAATCTGGGAGGCTTTTTTCTACTTGATCTATGCTAACAAATGTTATGCTTGTCCCTGCCATCCAAGTGGTTTTAGCTTTTAGAGGTAGGATAAAATTCATGCTATAGATCTTTATATTCTGTGAAGAATATCTTATAAACAAAATTCTCTGAGATGCTTTTGACCCATTCTGAGCTTTTCTTCTTGGTGCTTGGCCTCCTGTGTCACTAAACTACTTACGAGAATGTTATCTGCTATCAGTATCACTCAGTTTTCTAAGACTACAGATTCCTAGATAAGTCAAGACACAAAAAAGTTTGGTTTTAAGTAAATTTTATCTTTTGTGTACATCTTAGATAAAAAGAATATTCCCATACGTGACACTGTTGTTTTCTAGTATTCTCTTCCACATACACTCCGTGCATCTACACTGCCTGCTTTTCATTACGTCCCTTTTTAAAAGGTACGGGAAGTGCTGTAAAAGCATACTTCCTTATAGAAGTGTGGCTGATAGAGGAGAAATTGCCATATTCATAGTGAAAAAATTTTTATGCCTATTGTTGTTGAAAAAGTTCTGAAAACTACACTTTACCAATTTGGGAAAGGGAAAAATATATATAATTCTACCAAAAATGTATTCACTTCTACTTGAAAAACTTTCTGCTGCCTCCTGAAATGGAAATAACCTGGTCCAAAGCCAGGCAATGTGAACATGCGTACTAGAGGGGAACAATTCTCAGCTCTTCTTAGGGGATTGAGTTTGACATTTGTCAGTTCACAAGTATTTGTAACTTTTAGGGACCCACAGGGAAGAAAGGAGCAACGGGTCAGGCAGGCAAACCTGGAATTCGTGTAAGTAACAAAATTCTACAGTCTATCTTCAGGTTATAAAACAAAGAAAATAATAACTAATAAAACCAAAATTGAGTCATGCCAGTGGTACCAGAAAGTCTTATGCTCACTCTAAAGAATCTTCTCATTATCCAGGAAGTGTAAAGGAACCTCTGTGAAAATAAGAATAATTTTTGAAACTATGTTAAATTATACTGATTTATACTCAGTTACTCAGCACATGGAAGTAAAGTGGAGCTAATAAAACAACAAGGTCCTTCCTACTTGTAAAGTTACTTAAGTAGATAATTTTTGCATGTGGCTCGTAGCCCATGTGCAAGTTATTACATTGTATTGCACAGAGCTGTACTACTGTTCACTCCTGGCTCCCATCAGTTCTTTGAACAGCTGCAGCCTACAGAAGCCTGGATTCATATGTCCATGATGGATACGGCTGGCAGATCCCTTGAGGTTTACTTCTTTCTCTCACTGCCCTGAGCTGAAATTTTTAATGCTCTTTCTTGAGTTACTGTAGGGACGCTAACTTGCATCCCTTTCTCCCTGAGGGAGAAGAAAGAGCAGGAAGCAGTAGGTGTTCTGTAAACATAACCAAGAACAAAATGCATCAAGGCTATTTTGGTCCCCTAATAAATAATACCACACAAGCACATATTGTAAATAACTTTTACTACCTTACATCAAAACATTGTCAGTAACCAGAGAAATGCAGCTGCTTCACAGAGCTTGTACCTGCTGGGCAGAGTGCAAGAATAGCCTTTTAAAGGCAAGCAAACTGTGTGTTTTTTGTAAATACTTGGCTCTTCCCTCTGGAGGACTGCAGAGAGCATATCGTTCGGCAGACAAAGGAAAAGAGGGAAAGGCGAGACATACAGTGAGGAGGAGAAGACAGTAAAACTGGAACTTGAGGAAGCCTCAAAGCACATCCCAAGTGCAAGATACTTCAGCAAGCAGAAGTTAGAAATAAGATTAAGATGGCACACTTCTTATATTCTGTATAGCTGTTGTTAACTATACTTTTTCAAATGAGATGTGTTGCAGTTAGCATATTTTAAATTTCTAAGAAATGCATTCATACAGAGATAACTGCAGAACTCCAAGCCCCTTAAGACAGTGTATGTCAGCCTAAAGGGAAATGATTGTAAAGAAAAAAATCACTGTTCCTTTGGTGGATGTGACATGAGGCTTTTCTGTGCAAGTATAGCAACAGTTAGCACAAACTTGTCTAATTAGAAGGTTGTATGTGCATTTGATATGTACAAATTTGAAGAGCATAATTTTGCAAATGGTAACGATACAGAGCATCTAGTAAAATTAAGGCTGAAAAGACATATGGTTGGGTTTTTTACAGGGATAAATAGATTACTTTATTAGGTTTACTTGCTTCAGTTTGAGAATCAACACTCTCAGCCATCTTCCAGGCTTGGCACGCAGAGGGGTTGGCCCCATGGTTTCAGCTGAAGTTGCCCAGAGCCCACAACACAGCAAGTCTAAGGTTAATCCAATAGCATTTTAAACCAAACATCCTAACTTAGAGCCCCCTCTGCGAGTATTCATCCGTGTCATTGGGTCTGTTATTATGTAGGGTTTAGGAAATACTGTGACTGAAATCTAGTTCTGTGATGGTGAAGATGAAAAGAGCCTACAGTGCTATATTTGGTTTGAATTTGTTTCAAGGGAAAACCAGGCCCAGCAGGGCAGAAAGGAGCAGTTGGGTACACTGGACCAGAAGGCGTTCCTGGCAACCCTGGCAAGCCTGGGCTGTCAGGGAAGCCTGGCCCTAAGGTAAGTTGCTTTCCACATTGCCCCTCTTTATGTCATTTTGCATTAAAGATTTTCTAAGGTTAGGGTATTTAAACAGAAGGAACCATTCTCAGTTCCTTGAGCATCTTGAAAATTAGACCAATTCTTTGTTTTCTTTCTCGTTTGCTCCTGATATTCTGTCCAGGATGTAAGGTTAAGGGAAGTGTGCTGTGAGAACTATTCATTAGCATACATTAGTAATAACTACAGCTAAGTGAAAATGTTTTCTTAATGAGAAAGGCTTCATGGTTGTGTTCCTGAAAATGAGCCATAGACCCCAACTGAGGCTGTTTCCTCTCAGGCCCCGAGATAATCCCACATTTTCCTTATTGTCTTTGAATTTGTAACCTATGTCTCTCTACCTAAGCAATTCTGAAGCTTTGCCCAAAACCACTGAAAAAGAATATTAGGTATCTGACGTAGCTGGGAAATAGTTTTTTTCGTCTGTCTGTGCTTTGCTGTGGGCCAAGGGTAGTGACCTGTTGCCTGCTGCTTCTGGGAGCAGTGACACAGCTCTTTGCTTATTCACTCCAGAGAGGAGGGAAGAAATTCCTTTTGTTGTTGTCATTGTTGAAAGTCTGATCACTTTGATTTCAGGTATGGTATTTCTCAGTAGTTCTAGTTCGATGGACCAGTAATTGTTATGAAAGGATGCCACATTAGATTTGGTGTTAGGAATTAATCAAGGTGCCAGATGAGGCACCTCTATTACAAGTATAAATTTGCCTATCTGGTTGAACAAAGAGAAAATTAAACAAGTTACCCATAAGAGGAAGATGTACCCTACTCGAGCCTTTTCCATTTTCAGATAATGTCCTTCTCTCTCAAGTACTTGAAATTCTTTGGAGTTGCATTTAGGAGTATCACCCCAAAGAATTCTTACATTTTTGCCTTTCCACTCAAAATGTCATCTTTCATATTAAAAAAGATTCCATTACTCCGTATTAACAATATATAGTACCATTACAATTTGTAATAAAGAGAGGCTTTTAACTGATTTTTGCCACAATAAATAAAAAGAACAGAATTTTTGCTATGTAAGTTTATCAGTCCATCAGGCTATAAACCACAGTACCATATTCAAAAGCTCTGAAAATCACATTTAATATAAAAATCCTATTTCCTATAACCCTTTTATTTCTATGAATGTTTCACAGAATGTCATATGAAATAAGAAAGAAGATATATATGTATATATTTCTACTAAATGACATCACAGAAACATTCATTTGAATGGTAGCAAATTTCCATTTTATATTTTTTAACATGTCAAAATTGGCTTAACTCCATGTACTCAGTAACGTGTTTTTTCATTAAAAATAGTTGCTTTTGTTTATTGTCTGATATTCTCATACATTTTCATAACAAATGTTCTGATCTTTCTTGATGTGGTAAAGTTACTGTATATGAATCCCTACAGAGTGTACACAATCATACTAATATTATCAGTATGTCTGGTATTTATAAATAAGCATGTCGAATTTTGAATGTTTCTGTGGGAAGGTAGTCTCGTTTTGTTTCTTGATATGGAGTTCCTTCTTGAAAAAATGAATACTGTGAATCTCAACTATATTTTCAGCCCATCTGTAATGAATGAATCCAGCATCTTGTTTTCATCAGAAGGAGCTCCTTATTGTAAGCTCAGAATCCTCAGACATCACACAACACTCATCCAAGAACCATCTCAAGGAGTCATCGTCTATAATTAATGGAGATTAGCGCTCTCTTCCTGCATATTTCAAAACAGAGTTAGGAAGGAATTAAATAGGGATCAGTGCTGAAGGCTATTAATCTGAACATGCAAATTTTCAGGTTTGGGAAAAATTTTAGGTCTCTAATATAAACTATTCTGTATGATTCCCTGTGGGAGGTAAAAGCAGTCACTGGTATGCCCATGAGTGCTTCCATATATACTTGAATGCACAATTACTGTGTACAAAAGATTACCTACTATCCAACTGGGCAACTATTCTTATTTAGGAGGGTGCTAATAGGGAAGATGCCTTGCATAAGCCCAAAGAGGCAACTGATTCTCTCAAATGTTCTCAGAAGTCTTTCAAGGTCTAGGTAGGTGATCCCACACAAATGACATCATGATATATTTAGGGTAGGACCGAACAAGGTTTGAGATGAACACTGAACTGAACAACTGCAATGGGCTATGGCATGGTTAGCATTTGCTTTGCTGACAGTCGGTGACTTATTAAACTATAATAACTTGACTCCTCAGAAACTCCAACCCACCCCACAGTTAAAGCACATGTAGCTTTGTTGCTAAGTATGATGGGGCTTTACTTTTGGAGTATTAGCAGAAATCCAGATGATACTGCTGATCATTGTCTTTCCATATATATTTTGATGTACTGTCAATGTGTGTCCATATATGCAGAAAGCATAAGTGGCTTTGACTGATTTTATGTTATATGCCTGTTTTAGCATACAATGAAAAAACATGTTTGGCTGTTCTTCTTGTAATCAATTATTTTCAATTTAAGGGTAATAAAGGAAACTCGGGCTTACCAGGTCTCGCAGGTTATCCTGGAGCTCGAGGTCCCAAGGGATTGCCAGGCATGCCAGGGCCCATAGGAGCACCCGGACTAAAGGTACACACATGGGATCTTGTTCTTTAAGTACAGTGTTACTGATACTGCTTAGTCTTCATACTGCCTCCAGTGATTGTGGAACCACCATGCTACTGTTAATCATATGAGTAATTGACATCAAAACTTATTTGAAGGGTAAGACTGCAAGTTGTTGACCTCAATTCTATAAACTGTAATTTGAAAACAGAGTTCCCATCCCTGTGGATGCTATTCCCAACTCCAGAAGCCATTCAAAACTCTTAGTATTTATTCATCCAAAGCTTTAGGGCCAAATGATTCCTGACGTTTCTTTTTAAACTTCTGTAACTACTAGAACAGTCTGGATGATTTGAACATCTAAGCAATCTATTAGCAGAGAAGTACTGTAATTTCAAGCCTGAGTCCCAAGGTTGGGGGCTAACAAGCATGTCTGGGATGTTCATTTATTATAGGACTTAAACTGTTCTTGTTCAGCCCTGTCAGAAAGAAAGAAATCTGAGAGTGTTCCAGTTTCCAGGCAGTTACAGGTACCTGATATCAGCATATCCTCAGCTTCTACTGGTAATATTAATTAGACTCATTTCAGTGGTAAAAGAAGCAAAGAATGGAAACATTACAGATAATTTTCTCCATTTAGAATAGGATTTTTCATTTACAATCACGATTTGCAGTGCTCTGAGATTTTATTGGTAAGCAGTTTTTAAAGCCTTAAGTTACTTGAAAACTGGGGGAGGGAAATACTGTCTGTCTTTGTTATCTTTTCGTGGAAATATTTTAGTATAAACTGTATTCACTATTTGTAGTGTTTATTGCCAGTGCTCACAGTCTGGATTTTACTCCTTTGTCTAGACAATGAGCTGTAGGAGGTAGTTCCTGCTCAGAAATGCTTGCAATCTGAAAAAGAGGGAATAGATGAGGTGAGGGAAAACGGTTACCACATTGTGCAAAATAAACGTTAAGAGTGGACATAACTGAGTCAGGCCAAAAGTCTGTCTTTGTTAGAGCAGAAAAGTAACACCTAGGAAGGAGCGTAAGTGCAAAGCAAGCATGAAAGGTGTATGTTCCTAGCCTTAATTGCACCTCCTACGCTAGACGTGGTTTCTATGTATTTGATAGTCCTCAGACAATTTCTCTTGCATGAACTTGTCTAGTTTCCATTTGAATCAATGTAAACTTTAGTCTAACAGCAAGGAGTTCCACAACTATACTATGCCTTGCTCAGAGGATTACTTTTTAAATTTACTTCTAACCTTCCTGTTCTGTATTTCATTTTGTGCATTTTAGTTCTTGCACTGGGAGATACCATGTTGGAAACGATATAATATGTATGGGTTTTGTATGTTTCCAAGTCAAGGAAGTGTCAAGTCACATTTGCATTTTAGTGAAAGCATAATTATTGAAAGCATTCCTGATGGAAATAAAATTAATAGAGTAGGTTTATTTCTTAGAGAGAAAGCATGTTCCACACTTCTGCCAGGAAACCAATCTTTACATTTATAACTGTCATAATTGTAATGAAGGATATATTATATTCCTATGGACAGGGTGAGAAAGGGCTTCTGGGTCATCCAGGAAAGCGAGGCAAAAGAGGCCTTCCAGGATCACAAGGTGACCAAGGACGAGCAGGAGATGCTGGACTGAAAGGACAAACTGTACGTAATCACAGCTGTTGATGCAAAACAAGTAGTCCAAGAGTTACCAACGTGAAATAATAATAAAGATGCCTGCTCCTGTTACAGGGAGAAGATGGAGATCAAGGTTTGATGGGGTTTCAAGGATTCCCAGGTCCAAAAGTATGTGCTCATTCTTTTCTGTTAGATCTTAAGCCATTTACAGAGTGAGAACATTAGGAAAGCACAGAATTAATCGGCTTTAACAATAATTTGTTCAAAATCTGTCTGAACTGTCGGAACACTGTAGGCAGAACTGTGTACTCCATGTCCAAAGACGAATGTTCTGGGTCAGTGCACTTGGTATTTTCACTGTTACTGCTCTTAGTAATCAATTATTTCCATTGATTACAAGAGATTAAAACAAGTGGATAGCTAATGTTCATGTTTGACTAAACTGTTCCTTTGTGTTTTCAGGGTCCTGCAGGGGACATTGGCTTAGTTGGAATTCTGGGCCCGAAAGGTCCAACAGGCCAAGTTGTAAGTGTTTCACTCCATGAAAGAGATTGTCAGGATGGCTTGCAAGTGGCACATGTTTTTAATTTAGGGAATCATCTTTTTTCTTATTAACAAGGCCAGAGCCCTCTAGCCAAACCTTTCTCTCTGATACTATGATTCCTCTAGAAACCCTTTGCCTGTACTGCGACACTGCTCTGGTTGCAACATGGGTACAGATACACAAGCAGAGCTGGGCTGTCAATCTTGAAGGAAAAAAGCGAGCTCTCCTAGTATAATGTTATCTACCCAAGTATCCTTATCCGCTGTCATCTCTTTGTCTATTGGGGTTGTACATTCTCTTTCTTCTTACTGGCAACAATGCTGGTTGTATAACTCTGTCCTACAGCGAAACAAAAAAGGGTCAAACTTTACCTGCAGAAAGACAGAGTGGTGCTCAGGCATTATTGATTAATAGGTGGTCTTTTTTTAATAAATATTTTCTTTTTATCTGTAAGGTTACTAACTTGCATTAGCTCATTCTTCATGACACCTTCTTCATGACATACTACTGTGCTACTCACCAAAAATGTGGAAGCATCTTTAGTGTTCTGTAATATTGGGAAACGTGCATCCAGCTTACAGCATCAAGTGAAAAAGGGGGAAAGGTTGCAGCATGGAAGGCCTTGGTACAAAATGTTCCTATCTTACCACTGCCATTGTCATCACAGAACTGAATTAGTTCAATTAACCAGATGCAGAGCAGCAGCTTTAGGGGCCTGTTGTAATAGCTGCTTTCTTTTCCTAAACATTCCTATAAAAGATAAACACTGGAAATGAGTAGTTTGCTCTAAGTGAAATGGAACAGGAAAGTAACATTTTTAGCAGTACTTACTGGCAGCCTTACAAGAGTACTTGTGGGCAGTAATATAGCTCAAGATATAGTTGATTGTATGTGGTCTTTGGTAATCAGAATATTTAAGTTTCCACTGGTTTTAGCGCACCAACTTTCACATAAAAGAATGTGTGTGGGCTTTCCAAGAATAACTATTACTAATTATTAAAATAATTACCTTGCTGATTTTGTAGCAATCAATATTCAGAAAGAGAATATCACCATGATCTTTTGGATATTTGACAGGGCTGTGTGCTGAGCAACTTTAAACCAGGACACATCGTGAGGATCTTCTTCATTTTGAAAACATGGTGGACTAATAAATTCTTTGCTTGTTTATAGGGATATATTGGCCCTGTTGGTCAAGAAGGCCTAACAGGCCCAACTGGCAGGCCTGTAAGTTTCCCTTCTCTTTTGCATAATTTAGTTATTTCACCTACCCTTATTTTTAATAATCTGTTTTGCAACTAGCAACCTTCTCATTTTTCCATTTGCAAATAGTGGTTAGCAGGACCATCTTCATATTATGCCATGCTGGTGAGCTAATGTATGTGACTCAGCATCTATGATACAAACAAGAAAAAAAAAGACAAAAAACAATGACAAAGGAGTCATTGCCATGGCCTTCTGTCTAAGTACAGTATACAGAGGGCATGTCTACAGGGGCAGCAGGCGAGTCAAGGTATAAAACAGCACACAGTAACTACCACCTGGATATGCTTTCTCAGTCTTAGGTCTGAGACATATCTAGAGAGTATCCACTCTTAGTTTCAATATAGTTTATTTTTTATGTGTTGATTGGGCTAAACTGTCCAGAGTGCCCCTCTGGACATGCTGGAGTGCCCACAGGGCCTTCTTGGGGTGTTCCAAGTGCTGGCGAGGTCCCTGTTACAACTCAAACATCTTCTTGGCCTTTCTGATGACCTTCACTGCTCCTCAGGTTCCCTGCAGTGGGGGAGCTTTGCCCTTATCCCTGTTTCCATCCCTTGTTGCACTCTCTGTGCTAGAGATAGAGCAGTGTTCTGCAAGGGCACCCTCTGGCTCATATCTGCAGACTAACGTAAAGTAGTTTTAGAAGCATTTTGTTCCACTCAAGTTCCTCTGTCTGATCAACAAGACTTGGAGTGAATAAGAATGTCTAAAAATTGAAATAATAATCATTAAAATAACAGGAATATACAATAAAAGTAATAAATACAAATATTTACAAGGGGAAAAGAAAGGAGAAGGGAAATTTTCCTTCTGTAATTAGACTATTCTTTCCACCTGTTGGGAAAAAGACAGCACTTGTCTTGCTGCACTCTTTTCAATCCCACTCAGGAGGAAGACTTTACAGTTGCATATACTTGTATAAAGGCTTTTAATAGACTTCATATTGAATGTAATAGTTTGCCGTTATCATTAAGAAAGCATTACAGCTGAAGATTACTTCTATGTGTTACGAAATGCTGCCATCAAGATGCAAAATTCTTCCACGGAAGAATTATAAGATTGTTACCATCTTCGGAAACACAGTTTAAGTGCAAAACTAGCTAAAAATGCCATGGAGACAGAAAAACAGTGTCTTATCTGACTGTGAGAGGAGAACTAATGGGGTAATAAAAGCAGATATGTAACCGATGGATTTCTTCAGTGACAGAGAGTACCAAGTTTTGTTCTCAGCTCTTAAGATGGTGAAGCACTGATCTATTACTGTGGATCAAATTGTAGAAAGTACAGCTGACTGATAGGGAGAACACTGACAGTTCAAATTACTGAGAAAACACATATTTGCAATCTGAAGAAAACAGTCAGTTTTCCACATATAGGAATTACAAGATGTTTTCAAGTAATTTATCTTTCTAATAGTACAGAAAAATTAAAGCCCCAGAGTTGTAAATACTTCCACAGATGAGACTGGACTTTTCATGTGAGCAGTTTAACTCTCGTGGATATTAATTTGCTTATTTCAGTCCTAGGCAGCTAGAAAGCATACTGGATTAACAGCTTCTCTTTCTTACAGGGTCCAAGAGGTGAAAAAGGCACAAGGGGTGAAACGGTAAGATGAAACAATTTTTGTGCTTTCATCTTTTTTGGCTGTGTAAAAAGTATTCCTGTGTTACTGTGAATGTACTCTTGCATGCTCTGAATGCCAGACAGTGGTGGTGTGCTCCTGGAGAGTGCTGGCCTAGAAAGCTGGTAGCATGAGTAAAAGGCTGACCTTTTCTTGTTCAAGTTGACTTATGTAGATATGCCCAGTGTGTGCTGTTGAGCAGTATGACCCCTGATCATATAGCAGTCACATAATTCAAATCTGTCCCAGTTCAGATCTGGGAAAAGAAAAATCCTTTGTCACATTTGTTGTCAATGCTCCAGTGCCTCACAGCACAGCAGGCATACACATGTTCATATGTTTATATCATCTTGTCTAGAGAGGGAGAAGTTCAGGAGAAGCCTAGAGCTGAGGATGAGTGTCCATGCAACGTATGCCAGCTGTAGCAGCAGTAGGCAGCATTGATAGGTTATGAAGTTGCGCGCTCTCATTTTTCAGTAAAAATATTACATTAGGTTTTGTACATTAATAAATGTTGGATTCTAGTTAAAAAAAAAAGTGTTAGAGCTTGTAAAGCCTCCAATTAATAATGGCTATGTGAAAAGCCAGTGTCAGTTTATCATATTGGCAGCAAATATGAATACAATGGTACCTATGACATTACTTTATATGACAGGTTTATAATTAGTTCCTTTTCCAGTAACTGGCCAATGTGATCTTGTTCCTGTTGCTCTTAGCCTGCCTTTGATCCCACCTCACTTAAAATCATTTAGCTTCTCTTGTCTTATTGTATTTTGCTTTTAGCAGTCACCTGTGTGCAATTCCAACCTAGCTGCCTTGTAGAAGTTTTGAAAAATAAATCAGAAATATTAAAAACTGCTTAAAGAATTAAGGCTTGGAACTAAGAAAGTCTTGGGGAACTTTCCTTTTTGATTCTAATAATCTTGAGCCCATTCCTATCTCAGAGTAAGAGGAAAACTAGGTTCTTAATTTGTGCTGCTATTAACCATCTTAACTGTATTTTTCTCCTGTTTGTTCATACGAATTGCTATGACAGTATAGAGCTAAAAATGCTGACACTTAAAAAATAATAATAAAACCCATGCAAAATGGTGAACAAGAAACACCCATTTCCATTATTGGTGCTGGTGTTTAAGAAGTTATTTCCTAAATAAATTCTTGAATTCATCATGATAAATTCATCTCCTAAAACTGTCTTCAGAAGAAGAATCTTTAATTTTACATCATGCCCCGTGGCATTCTTTTATATTATGTAGCCAAGAAAAGGATTTATTTCCAACTGTTTTTAGATACAAAGGAGAGAAGATTATTTTCATCCAACTGTGTATTCCTAGCTTGAATTTATGCCTTTAAAATTGATATTGACATTCTTCCTAGAATCACAAAAATTTTAACTTTTTTGTAGCAGTCCAAGTTTTAGTTACAGTTTTTAGTCTGTCAGGGATACAGTGTTCATTACTAGAAAGAAATATCCTTTTATCCCCTGGAAAACATGGAACATAAAATCGTATCTCCTTGTTGAAGTCAGTGGTGAACCACAGTTCAGGTCCTGTAGGCTATTTCTGGAGAAAAACTGATAGAGTCAGAAACAAGTTTGTTGAAAAATTTTAATCAAAATTATTTTTCAATTCAAAATATTCATATCACTGTACTTGAAACATTTAGAAAAACATGGAATACATTCTGGAATATTGTTTCAGAATTCTGACATTTCTGAAAGTGTGTTTTCATTGTCTTAGATTTTTTTTTTTTTTTTTATTTCATGACACGTCACATAATGAATTGTAATATAGAGTCATAGGATAATCCAGACTGTAAGGGATCTCAAGACATTTCTAGACCAACCTCCTGTTTAAAAATGGATCAGCTCTGAGATCAGACTACGTTGGTCAGGGCTTTATTCAGCCAGGTCTTGAAAACTTCCAGGGATGGAGATTGGATAATCTCTTTGGGCAATGTGTTCCAGTGTATGACTGTCCTTAAGGTGAAAAAAAGATAAAATATGATATGATAAGGCATAATCTGTAATTTTCTATTATGATCTTTTATCTTAGATTTACAATCATTAATGGCAGCTACTACACTGTATTGTGTATCAGACTATTAAATTGCAGGATGTTATTAGGCTTTACCCATTCTGAGATATGGTGACATAACATCCAAATGACAAAAGCGGTCAGGGAAAGCTTAACATTAATCATTTTCGTTAAAAATACTTTCTGTTTCTTGGAAAATTTCAAAAGCCATGGAAAATATGGAAGTCCCTGGGATTGCTCATGTTTTCAAAGTTAAGCATATGTATCATTGCATGTAAAATCAAGGCCTTACGGTATTAGAAAAAGATTGGAGTTTTGGCCTTTGAACTTCTGTACTAGCAATCAAATTGGGTGATTAAAGAATTAAAGAGCACACTAGAACTAACTGTTCTATTCTCTGCTTTTGTTATTACGAACTGGAATTACACTTTTCTCACTTAAATTCTAATGTGATCAAAGGGTAAATTAAGTAGATTTGTAAAGGTAATCCTGTACATTCCAGTAAAACATTTAGCAATTAACTTAATCCACAAAAAGTGTAACTTAACCTTATTTTGGTGTTCTACAACAGAAAGAAAGAACATTTATAACATCTCTACAGGATTTTCAACATACTCTGTACAGTCTTGTTATATTTTAAAGGCTTGTAAAGGTAATTGATATAGCCCTGTGAAGTTTTAATGAATTTAAGAAATCTAATATCCCCAAAAGTAGTTTACTATAGTTAACAAATAGCATTCAATATTTACCTTTTTTTCACATGGGTTTTATTGACAAAGAGACAGTGAATCAAGACAAATCACATTTTTCTTTTGCAAAATACCTTAAATTCATTGGAACAGTGCAGTGTTTGATTTTTTTAAAATACTCAGTTCTATCTCAGAAACCACTATAAATTTGAACTGTTCTCGTCCCGACTTTTGGGATCTTAAAATTGTGACACATGCCAAGAGCACAGAATATTAACTGAAACATTCAGTCATCTGAAAAATCCACTGGAATGTCTAAATCTCAGCACCCAGAACAAGGACATCTATTCATCAGAGGGTAGTGGTTACTTAGGGACAAACTGTTGAAGACTTTGTGCCTTGCCTTGACTCGGTATTTACATAATCAAGTCCTGAGCCAAGATAAACAAGTATGTCTACACTGTCAAATTCATTTCTCGAGTTTCTTTTTCAAACTTTCTCTTTCATTTTATTCTAAACATACTTCAGCAAACATGATCATACCTACATAATCCCATATTCACATGGCATTGAAGGTATCCTGCAGCAGTCTAGCAGCACCTGAGTTGCTGATCTGATTAATTAAATGTGGAGGTCAGCCTTCTCAGCTGGTATACAACATGGTAGCTCTGTGAAACCCAGTTGATTTACAACAGCTGAGGGACTACCCCAAAACAGTGAATGTCATCTCTGCAAACTCATCTCTCATCAGTTTTGTAATAATGAATAGCAACAATAATATTTGATGCCTATTTAATAGTAACAGGATTTCAAAGAAAATTTCAAGCTGGGCAATAATCAAACTCAGAAGAGTAAAGGGAAGCTAGGTACTTGCCACAGAACCTACAGAGTTTTCTATACTACTGTATATGTTAAAATTACTTATTCTTTGATTTCCATTTTCCAACATCAATCATTAATGTCTTTACAAAATATCAGTAAATATTTACCTAAAAGATGGCTTAGAGTCCCTTCTATAAGTACAAGTGGATGAAACATAAATAAATAGGTCAGGATGCATCAGTTGAAAAGTTGACAATATTTACAGTCCCTAGAGCTTATGCCATTAAAGTCTTCTTAGTTAAGTATCAGAAGACAATCTCCCTGAACCCCCAGAAATTGCTTCAATTTTGATTCTCACCTATTCTTCAAAGAACATGTGTAAAACACGGGTCTTGGTCTCGAAAGTCATTTGCAGTCCCTCAACATAGCCTTGTTGCTATAGATCTGGTGCTAGGAATTACATGATGGCCTCCACTTGTCACAGCCTTCATAATCCAGCACCTGAGCCCCTCTGGCATGGCCAGGCAGGTGATGTGCAGGCATACTTGACTTGTGCAGCTCTGGAGGTCATTGTAACCCCTGACAGATGCATTCCCCAGCAGCTACCATGTGCTCTGCCTTACGAATATGTGTAGAGATTGTAAGAAATGCAGCTGGTATTCTTCTAAAAATCGATGAATTTGGAGCCTCAGTGACTTAAGTACTAAATCACTCCTATCTGCTTTGAGATCCTTTTTTTAAATATACATGAATTGATCTAAGATTGAATCTGGCCTTTCTTTAACCATTTCCAGCTGCCCTTGCTGGTGGCAGCTTTAAGCACAGCCCAAGTTCAGCAGTTGTAGTATGCAGTGACATGCAGATCTTGCTGTGAAATCTTACAGCAGAAATAACTTATTACTATACTAAGTTATTTACAACTTAATACCTCTTTGACTAGATCAGTTTTGCAATATTTGTCAGCATGACCATGTCAGATAAGGTTATTTCTCTTTTGGCAGAGACTTAGTACTAGCGTGACCATACTGGTGTAAGAGGAACAGCTTACTGTACTCAAGTAATTGGTACAAGCAGCACTGGCTAAAGAGTGTTTTGCTTAAATTAACTCAGATATTTTAAAAGGTTTTATTCTAATAGACGGTGCAAGCCTGGCCTGTGCCTTTCATTCCTTCTTGTTCTCTTTTACTCGTGTTAAGGCACTGCCATCTATTCTTTTCCTTGTCATTGTTCTTGCTATTGTTTATGTTACAGCAGCTCCTAGAGGCTTTGAGTATATAGAGATTGAAGAAGAGAATCTAACAGAAACACAAGTATCACTGTATATTAATAAATATTCATAATCATTCCATCTTAATGTGAATCCTTGCGCAAAGAAAGGATAATTCAGATGGAGTTATTGTTTTGGGGAGGATCCATGTCCAACCCTAAGGCAAGCCTAAAACTTAGATTTAAGACTAAGTGCGTTGTAGGCACCATAAGCTAGGGAAAAGTAGCTGTTCCTTCTCCTCCTTTCCTCCCAACTGCATCATCCTACACATTAAAATGATGCCTCTTATAATGAGGAAATAAGGGCGTAATTTCTTGAATATGAAGGAAGCCAGCGGTATCACTGTTCAACAATGAACGTAACATGTTCTGGCTGAAAATTGACACTGCTAATAAATGGAGCTAATAAATGCCTAGCAGATGCTCATGGACTAAAGCAGATCAGTTAGTTTTTTACAACTGTCCATAACATTATTTACAATGTTTTTATGATCATTCATCCCTTGTAGTACTTGTATTGGCAACATGTATATAATGCTGGCACAATGTATAGCACATTATATATTAATATTTTGTATAACTTCTAATGTTCCCTTAATATCAAAACCAATTGGATAAATAAGTAACCAGACAACCCAGCAATTCTAACAGGAATATTCACACATTAACAGAGTATAATACTTTAACAATAGTAACTAATAATCTACAGCTTTACCAAAACCAGTATCACATCTTCTTCATTGTACGCATTGTGACAATTTGTGATTTAAAAAATACGAAAATATAAAAGCAGACATGTTCATCTATAACTGTTGCATTTTACCTCCATTTCTTCTAGGGGCCTCAGGGACCTCAGGGCCAGCCAGGGCCACCTGTAAGTGCATAAAAAACATGCCTGTATTTTTTCATTGTGATTGCATTATATAAACATGTGAAGCACCTAATATCTGGTTTCTCCCATTTTCCAGGGACGACCTGGACCACCAGGACCGAGAGTAAGTTCTGTAACAACCCTAACCTACAATACAGGCCTTTTTTTGAAAGTGAAAATAGGAGGATCCTCTTCAAATGCATTGATTGTTCCATCACTGCACATAAAATGCAAATACATTTTTCTACAACTTCCGTCACTACAGTAATACATTTTTTGAACCTTCCATCTTACACTGTCAGTTCTGTTCTGCCATGCTATTGAGTACTCAACAAGCAACACTTATGGACATGCTCATACTTTTGACATAGGTTAACTCCATCACACTCTAAAAGGTTTTTCTCCTGTTCTGCATTTGAACGCTCTGAAAGATAACAACAGAAAATTTTGTGCTATTTCTGGCCCAGATGTTCTCCCTATATATATACACACACACACAGATTTAGTTTGTTAAAGGATTGTGCCAGTTAGGACAGACTCAATATCTGAAGTGTCCTAGAGCTGTAATGATATATGTAATCTGAGAACAAATTGTAAGAACTAGATGTTTGTGTGGGTGACTTAATTCTTTAAAAATAAATAAACCTGTTGTCTGGGTCTGGTATATACATCACACAAAGTGCAGAGAATGAAGATACGCAAGAAACAGGCTTCCTCCTTCAGAGGCTAGTTTGTCAGTCTTGGTATTTGTTCATGCATCATGAAGACTACTTTGATCTGTCAGCTGCTGATGGCTGATTGAGATTTTTTGTGTGCTTCTCTGTTAAAGAATAGCACCTTTTCACACTTAGCTGGATTGGTTTTCTTAAGTATATAAATTAAATGGCTGGGAGGAGTAAGTTGGGACATTAGTCTGTAACAACTGTTACAGTATCTTTTTTCCAGGTTCCAGGAGTATGATCATTAAATAAATAAATAAAAATCAAATATGCTTTTTCTGTATGCATGCTTGCATTTTTTGGAAATGGAAGGGAGGATCCTATTTTAAAAGTAAGTGTTTACAATGAAATATTTTCTAAAATGACAAAATAATGGAGCTATCATGTATGTTGCTACAGTGCTCAAAGAATTTACCACCTGCATTTTAGAATATTCCTGTTCATCTTTTTATATTCTGAAATATCTTTTTTTTTTTTTCAGAAACAAGTGGACATCCACGCCGCTGTTCAAGCTTTGATTGAGTCAAATGCCGCACTGCAGATGGAGGTAATATATTTCAATGTATTTACATTATCATACAGGGTATGCAATTATAATTCTATTTTTTGAGGACAGAACAGGGCTTGTTTACGCAGACTTAATTTAAAGTGAATTATGGATAGCAAGTAATTACTGTAGAATATAATGAAACATGCTAGGATTTATAGGATACAATTGAAATGAAGTTAAGAAACACAGCAGCATTTCTACCTTTTTGTCATGATTGGCAGTAATGGAAATTTGTTGACTATCACACATAGCGGACTGTATCTGTTCAGCCACAGATAATGATAGTGGCATTTAGGCCTTGATCCAAAAAATACTGACATATATGCAAGTGTGTGGTCCCACTGATTGCAAGAAAATTCCTTACATGGGTGAAGTCAAATCATTTGCATATATTTTCTAGGTTAAGTCTAAGAGTAGATTTCACTGTTCAAAATCTGAAACTGCTAAGTATACTTTAAAAATGCACTAATTTTTTTTCTTTTTTCTTTTTTTTCCTGTATCCACATTTTTATGTCAACATGTCATAATGACGTATTTGCATGATCTTAACCTGCCTGTAACTTCACTGGTCTGATAATTTCAATAAAATGTACTAATTTGTTTGTTGGAATATGTTATTCTTACGCTGTTTTATATGGCTGATTGCATGCATTATAAATACTCCTGTCTGGCTATTCAATGGCCATTTGACTTTTACTGCATATACTGTTGCTATGATACTTCTTTGTGGTAACACATTTGCTAACGGCCCTTGGCAGAAATACCAGAATACTGAAGTAACTTTACTAGATCACAGTACAGAGATATTCAAAACGCTGCACTACCTTAGCAACTTACTGCACAGCATCAAGAACCCTCTTGGCACACGGGGTAACCCAGCTCGCATCTGCAGGGATTTGCTTAACTGTGAACGTAAAGTGGCAGATGGTAAGTGTCCACTTTCATTAAAGCTTGAACACAACTAGGCTTTGAAATGTGTTCCAAATGTAACTTTCTACATCAAAATTCTAATGTGTAGACTTTTTTATTATATTCTGTTGCAGTGTGCCTGTCACAGCTATCTTTATTTTATCTTTATTTAAGATAAAATTTCTGAATTTTGAAGATGAAAGTATGTAGCTATCTAATATTATATAGATACTAGATACAGATTATATATATAAAGTAAACAAGTGTGTCCAGAAAATTTGAAACTGAATCCAATTTTGTGATTAAAAGTTTCCCAAGTATTTATAGCTAATTTGCAATGAATTTTGTGTGGATCAGTTTCTAGATTCCTAATGAGAAAATTGCATACAATACACTATCCCTGTCAGATACACTGACAGTTGTTGTATCCCAGAAGATCCTGAATCCATATTTCAAATCAAAAATAATTATTTAAACCTTTAATGTCAATACTGTGACATAATTCAGTTTCTGAGTGGCTAATAAAATAATAAATCCCTGTAAATATCCCTATTATCGAGTATTAGCATTAACAAGCTAAGGAGGAAATGGGAAATGAAGTTAGAGTTCCAGGGAAATCACTGTTTGATGGCATATATAGGGACGGATCAATTCTTTAAGACTCTAGCAGAGATGAGCCTAACCCTTATTAGAACTGTGCTCTCTCAGTCCTTAGGGCCACGAAGGTCACCAACACAGCCCTCCACTTTAGAGGATTACACACACCCATATAAATTGTAGAGCACAGGCTCACCCATATTTAACCATAAATTAAGGAAACCTAAATCCTGATATAATTTGCATGTGTCCTATTTCTTTTATTGGACCGAATCCCACGGATTCACAATGGCAAATACTCCTTATTACCATCACTAGGATATGTCATGTAGAAGTGTCTGATGGGAGAAAGACAGTGGAGAAAGCAAGGATCTTAAAATGCTGTGAGAGCAAGAGAATTTAGATTGACATTTTATATCCGGAATATATTCTCTGTATAAAGCCAAGCTCAAAGAAAAAAAGTTAAGTTTTAATACAGAAAGAGCAGACTGGAAATACTGATTGTTCTCATTATTTAGCTGTAGAAAAAGAAAAACAAGAGAAAAAAAAAAAAGAGAAACTATGACAGTATTCAAAAGTCATTGTATGTGTAATCAGAATTGAATGGCTATGATAATTTTGCTCCGAATCTGTTACTAGTAGAATTATAATAGTGAAAAGACTTTCATGTTCTTTTTCTTTCATTTCCTAGTGAAGCTATGGTGATAATATATCTAATACTTGCCAAAAAGTATGAATATTTTAAATAAATTGCTTAGTAACAATTATGTTTTGGTTTTATTTTCCATCTGGTATTATATACTAATAGGAAAATACTGGATTGACCCAAATATTGGATGTCCTTCTGATGCCATTGAAGTTTTCTGCAACTTCACTGCAGGTGGTCAGACATGCTTAACACCGCTGTCTGTGACAAAGGTATGCATTGCTTCCAGAGAGACTGTATCTGTGCTGCTGGAACTCTGAACAAATGAATGCTTATCTACTTAACTCATGAAAAGATGTTAGATTTCAGGGGTTTTTTAATGTGCATCTTTGTGGAAGGACATGTTATATATTCTGTTACAGAAGTTACAGATTTTCTGGAGACAATATATGTTAGTGTAACTGTTTGTTTGTTTACTCACCTTCCATACTGATAGAATTATTTTGTTCTATCTATAAAAATTATTATACTTTTCTATACAAGGCATAAAAATAAGCTTGAAATGCTTCTAAGCTACATTAGTAACTCATAACTCAGGGCAGCTGAGTGTAAAGATGCTGAAGTCATTGCAATGGGAAGAAAGAAAATTATGACTACTTTTCAACACTTAGCTACTTCTAAATGCCATTAGGCAGAGATTGGTTTCCTTTATATCATTAGTCCATGCTCCTCTTTACATGTAGTCCTTAAACCCTTGGGAATAGAAATTTTATATTTGTGGAGTTTTGCATATACACTGTAGTCATTGAAGAGCATCAGAAATACCATAAAGTTCCCATACACATTCCTACATTTGGACGATCCCTGAATACAATCTAGTCTTGGAGAAATTCTTGTTGAGTAATGAGTAACTATATTTTCTGTCTAAACTCAAAGGATGCTTATGAATTTTTGGATTTTTTAATGGAATGTAGGTATTGCCAGAATCTGTGGTCTAAGAATACTAAACAGCAGAATGATGTGGCTGCAGTTAATATCTGCTGCTGCTAATATCTTTGTTTGAATCACATAATCATTTGTTTTGTTTCCTTATTTAAAAATAGTGTTTTCTCCCCAGCTGTGTTTCAACAATGTTGTAAGCATTAGCAAATGTTTATATTTAAGCTTTGAAAATGTCCTATGAAAGCTTCTGTTTATAGTAATCACTATAATAGAATCTAACAGCTTTCCTGAAAAATACAAATCATGCTCTTTGGCATTGATCCCAATGTATAAATATGTATACATGCTCTCATGCCTGAACAGCATACATGTATGTGCATGTCACTTTGCATTGCTGTGGCCATTCAGCATAGTCCAGCTGTAAGTCTAACGATGCATTTCTCTTGGAACTTAGCTGGAGTTCGGCGTTGGAAAAGTGCAGATGAACTTCCTTCATTTACTGAGCTCAGAAGCAACCCATAGCATCACAGTTCATTGTCTGAACACGCCAATGTGGAGATTAAATAAAGTAGGTGGCCAGAAAACATCTGTTAGCTTCAAAGGATGGAATGGTCAAATATTTAAAGCAAATACGCTACTTGAACCGAAGGTGCTTATGGATGAATGCATGGTAAATATTTTTTAGCACTAGCATTATTAAAACCATAATGGAGTTACTGTTTAGACATTATTAACGTTCTGCAAATAAATAACAATCATTTAGATTCACATCCCTTAAAGCTTACTTCTTACATTGTTCTGCATATTTCTCTATATGCCAACCTTTTGATACTGAATTAAACACCTACTCAAACATAAAAGCAATTGCAGTAATACAGGGTATCTATACTTGCTGTTCGCATTGAGTGTCATGTATTTCAAGACTCTACCAAGACCCTGGAGGGAGATCAGAACAGAAATAAGGAGGTCCTCCAGGTAACTTTAGGAACAGTTACTCTCAAAATGAAAATTCAGGCTTCAGTAAGAGTTCTGTTGAGGTTATCTAACACAAAATCTCAGGTTCAAACAGGCTGGAAATTATTTTTTGGACAACTAAATATCTTTAAATTCATTGACTACGAGTCAATTGTTTGGTTATTTAATAAAATAATGATGATTGGAAATGGACTCCATTGCTAACTAAAATATTGAATCATATTTGTGTTTAGGAAAAACTGGAAGAGCTTATTAATTTTCTAATGCTTATTAGATCACTCCACTCACCAAGATGTGAGCAATTTGGTAAATGTCTTGGTAGAACACTATGAAATATAGGAGACGAGCACTTTACACTTTCAGTATTTTTTAGCTCTGCTTTCATTTACAATAACGTAAGACATGAGACTGGTTCCATATCGATACAGGGGTGTCAAGTGAGATTTCTAATCTCAAGACAGAAAGTGGTTTTATTGAGGCACTTCGAAGCTGTTATGCTTCCAACCTTTATTAGCATCGCTAATGAGATGCTCTAGCCTGTGTCATGCAGCTAAAGTATGGCCATCAAAGCCCCTTCTCCCCACCTCCCAGTCTGTTTGGGACTGTTTTAATCCCTGAGAAAAATTAAGGCATACAGTGATGGCTATTGAGAAGTGCCATTTTTCTGTGAGATTCTACAAGGTCTGTCGCTCTTTCTGTGGGAAACGATTTATTGTACAGATCTGCTGCAGAATCTCACATATTTTCCCCCTCTGCAGGGATTTCACTTTTCAGTGGTGTCCACTGTACTTGATGGTTTTTAAGAATGGAGAGATTGCAAACATCAAGGCACTCCCAGCCCCAGACAATGCTATAATGTTACTTTGTCATTTTTATGGGGTATCAAGTTTTTACTGAGAAGTTTAAAGGATTAGAATAATCAATACAAAGTTCATGGCAAAAATGGAGCTCTCATTCCCCATGATTATTCTTGAAGGACAAAGTCATTCAAGTGCCTGTAGAGTTCATAACCTGAGACCTACTGTTCAGATCTGAGGTGAATTTAGCAAGAGATCTAAGAGTCTATATGAGCCCAGGACTGCTTGCAAAGTGACAGGCGCTCTGCTCTGAGCCGTGTTGTACTGTGTCTGCATCCGCTCCAGCTGGATTCCGGGCTGGGCTTTTTTACAATTACAGTTTTGCCAGGAGCACCCATGGTATTGCATGGGAGAAATGGCATTTGTTAAATTACACAGTTTCTTTAGGAACTGCTGGGAGAAGAAATGTTTCCGTACACTTCTCCTCCTCTCACTCTTTAAGCACAATTTCCATTTGTGTTTTGAAGCTCATCTTTGATACGAATCTAATATTCTGCTTCTGTATGTTGCAGACTGAAGATGGCAGCTGGCATAAGACACAGTTCTTTTTTCACACTCAGGACACTGATCAGCTTCCAGTTGTTCAAGTTAATGGACTTCCTCATCTCAAACCAGGACAGCAGCACTTCATAGAAAGTGGTTCAGTGTGCTTCCTTTAAGGTCTCTGTCCTGGGGTTTTTTTGCATCAACATGGAATTGCTGCATAGATTGAATGCAAAAGTAATGATCCATTGCAGGCAAAATTACTAGGAAACTGAAGAATCGTTTTAAACAGTGTTGGTTAAAGAACCTCAGGAAGAAAAATACTTCCTCCTAAGGAGAAATGGCATTGAAAAAGGAAAGAAAGAAAGAAAGAAAAGACCCAGCAATTTTCATAAAGGATTTTAAAAAGAATTGGTTGGTGCTTTCTTGCATAATTTCCTGGAACTGAGTATCTGAATATGGAATTTTTCAGGACTCTAGTGTTCTTAGCAATCTCTTTAAGAGCACTGCAAAGAAAACATGCCGAGGAAAGCTGGAGACATACAATACTAAGGAGCAATTCTGGTTAATGCTCCTATATGTGCAATAGCTTATATACAAAAAGTGAATTATGCCACAATACAATACATCTTCTTTTCTTAAACATTGTTTTATTATAGTCCTTTGTGGACACATGCATCTTAATAGATGGTACACTACCTCTTTTGTGTTTCCTATCCATGTTGCCTTGGTGCTCTTCATAACACAAGGTGCTGTGGCCTTATATCAGAGATTATTTGAGTCCCTTTTTATCTTTCAGACTGTATGTGCTGGTTACATCAGGATATGTTTCTGTTGTAAAGGTACTTATTTTAAATCGTTGGTCACATACTTCACTACAATGAAAACATTATTTATGTGGATTCCTTCTTTAAAATATTTTTGTGTACTGTTGTGGAAATGGTATATGAGACAGCACATTGTTTATGATGCATATAGTCAGAACAGTTAGCTTTACAGCCATTGTAAAAATTGTTGTAGAAGAGCTACCTACAGTAGTTTTGAGTTTTTGATTCTGTATTTCAGTTAACATTTTGAATGCCAAAGGCATCTTAAGATGATATATTGGTATATATTTTGTAACTTGTGAAAAAAATCTACTACAGCATGTCTTCTGAATGGCTGCTGTTAAATTATAATCAGCATTTCATCAACGTAGAAATCCCATTTTTTTACCTTATTAGATCACTTCAGTTGTTTTAAATTAAGCCTAAAATGTTCAGCCATGTTTTTTTATTAAAAAAAGAACAATTTTACCGTTAGGAAAAGCACTCTTTATAAAGATATGTCTCTATCTATTATCATTCCAAAGTCTGCTCAGTAGTACATGGCAAGATGATACCAGACTATACTGGGTCGAAGGGGAGTGTTCAAACAACTTGTTTAACTGTCTTGATCCACAGGAAACCATGCTTACCAAAGTATAATAAAATAAGCTTCCAAGCGATCTGTTTGTCTTTTACTATTCTGTTTCGTATTGTGTAGTTCATTCTTAGCAATGATGAAAATCCTCTGAAAGGGTACTTGTTAGGTGGCAATGCTTCCTTTACCAAGGGGAAATGCACACGCTTCATGCCATGGAATACTGCCAGAGTGACAGTGTTTACTGTTACAAGGTAACGTACATGTACATCCCATTTTACATTTTATAGCGAAGCATCAGTTTTGTTCCCTGTGAGAAAATCTGATAAAACTAAAGACAAAGCAATATTATGGAGTGACGATAAAAATTAGAGAAAATTTCTCACTTTCTGCATTTTCAAGATCGTTACAGTCTGACAGAATCACTTGTCATTTGCTCTTAGTTTGGCTGGGGAGCTGACGTTCTGACAAATGGATTATTTCTTTGTAAGAAAGTAATCTTTTAGAAAATATTCTGCTTCATGTGTATTTTTATTACTCTCATTGCCCTATTTTGGGGAGTTCTTTATAGCCTTTATTTATGGTTTATATTAGCGTGTCTCAGAAATTATGTATTTCAAAAACAAATAGCTTAAAGTATCGTAAGGCTGCTCAGACGTAAACGTCTGTATTTCTGTAATTGAGGCAAAAATGCACATCCCATGCAGACAGCACAATGCACTTGTGCAGCAGGACACTGGCAGATGGTAACGTACCGCATCGCTTGAGTTGGAGGTTGCCAGGAACATCTGGCTGAACGCATCCTGTTTGACAGTATACTTGTATATGGTGCAGTGTGTGTTTTGGAAAGCCCCTTGTATTCAGACATCTTTACTAGAGCTCCTGAAGGCATTTGCAGGAGATCTTGTACAATTTTGTCCCACAATGTTAACAAGTACCTGTACTCTGCAATTAATTTTTTATGGTTTCTGAGCTGGTCACCTACTTTGTCACCCTTCATTTTAGAGCAAGCCCTGCGCTAGATTACAAGTATCTTTGTCAGAATCCTTTTATCCCTTTTAATTGTTATTTTTCATGGTTAAAAATACATTAAAAAGCACCTGGGAAGCAGGGCTTTGAAACAGCCTAAAGCAGGAGGGATAAGCCTAAAGGTTACAGGATGCTCTCTGCGCCGCAGGGAGCGGGCCGGCTCCAGCTTAAGGCGAGCGGGAGCGGGGCCCCGCTCCC